AAACCAGCTTTAACTATGATTCTATGCCCTTCCTAATTACCCCATTAATGTAGTGTTAATGAGGGTATTTCCGTCATTTCAGTTATAAAAATGCCGTTACGTGGGGCTGGTAATTTTTAGGAATCTACAGCTGGGGGGAGTAACGTGGCAGGCAACCTCGATCTTGGCGCCATACGTACTAATGTTTGTTTTTAAGTTTTTAGGCAAAAACCTTTTTTAAGCCCCCAAACGTATCCCAAAGTAGCATTTAAACCCCTAAATTAAAAATGAAGCGGATAAGTCCTTCAACTTCATTAATGATGCAAATAAACCCTTCTTACAAACGGGTCAAACGGTATTTCATATTTAATGCCACCTTGAAAACATGAATACCCATGAAGTAGAAGGACTTATTTGCATTATTAATGGAATTGAAGAGCTTATTTGGTTCATTTTTAGTTTAGGGGTTTAAATGTTATTTCGAGGATAAGTTTGAAAGCTTAATAAGGGTTTTTGCCAAGTTTTTAACCTCCTGGCTTAATTACTTAATTAAATAATAATTAAGTAATTAACCATGATAGTCACTGTTGCAGTGTTTCTCTCCGGTGGATAGAATCGACACGTGTACGGCAGTTACTAGGCAGAAGTTTGGGGGTCTTGATCGGTGATGACGACAGTTTTTCCAGAAGTAAATATCAACCGCGAGATGGATAGAGGAATTTAAATCAGATTGGTGATGATCATAAAGGATGGTGCTTCTGCACCACAGATTCAACTTACCTCGGGATTAATTAGGTCACGTGATCCATAGTTTTACCTCCCACGGGTTAATAAAGAGCTTCAATCACCGTGATAAATGCATGACGTTTTGGTTAAAAAAACAGATTAAAAAAAATTAAAAATGGTAGGGTTAGAATGGGTCTTCATTACAAATTTACAATGCATGATGAAGCTACACTCGGAAAGGCCAACCCCATCTCCTATGGTGAAGGTTATCGTTACAAATAGTTCTTGTTGCATATATAATTTTGTTAAGTTTATTAATTTTAATTATAATTTTATTAATTTATAATTTTTTAAGTAATTAATTATGATATTTAAAATTTTTTATTTATAAATTAATTTTAATATATTAAATAATAAATATTAACTGTTATATGGTTATCAATTTTATTTTTTTGTTTAGTATGCACGGTATATTTTATAATTATAAATGAAAGAAATTACAAAATTTTGATGAGGGTTGGGCTATTGATATTTGAAGTTTTTCTCATCAAATGATCACTATTTTATAGTTTAATACAATTTAAACAGTAAAATAAGATTTTAATTATTAATTCTAAAAAGGTTTAAGTATAATCATTAAAAAAAAAAAAAGAAAAGGAAAGAAAATTTATTGTTATTCTTTTAGCAGGAGGTGGTGTTATGATTTTTTTTTTTTTTTAACAAGAGCAATTAGTACATATTTTAAATATATGCGGACTAGGGAAAGGGAATCCCATAAAACTTAAAAATGCAACTCATGAAAGGTGATTCTTACTAACCAGTGATCTTAACTACTATACTGGAGCATGAGAATTGTGGGGTTATGATTTTGAATTAGTTTCTGTACATCATATTAAATTTAATTTATCAGTTTTACTGAAGATAATTAAGATTGGAAAATGAGGGATTTCTTTAAGAAGTAACTTCTCATGGACATTTTTAATGTATCGAACTTGGGTTTTTGTTTTCTACCATCATATTTAGTTATTTCTAAAAAATATAATCTCCTTGACCATCTAAAGATAGTGAAAATGAGATAGCTCTTCCAATCACCTGCCGTTTTGTTTCCATTTTCTGGTTTGGACTATCTCTTGACAATTTGTGCTCATAAAGATATCAATTGTGTGGTATGGTTTGATAGTAACGTTTTGTACACATTCAAGAGAATGATTGAGCTACCATAAAATGCTCAAAATTATGCTTTTAGCACTAAGACTATATTAATCCATGAGTTCTAGAATGTGGACAAAGCGGCAGCCAAGTTGTTCATTTAAACTTAAGATTAATCAAATTTTAAAACTCTATGTACGCTTACTATAAAGCTAGAAAGGTCTATGTCGGCAAGAATGATTAATTACAAGTTAGGAATATTTCGATGAAGATTTTCTTACAAATTGCAACCCTACATCAGTAAATGTTCTATTCTTTAAAGGAGTCAATTAAAAAGTTTTCTAGTTTTAACATATATGATATGAATTTACTTACATTAAAAATATAAAAATTTAATTTAATACACGTAAACTAAATCATAAATAACATAATTCTTATATACATACGTGTTGGACTTTTTGGAGAGAGTAATATTCTCGAACAAAATAATCAAATTTACTTTCCAAGTCACTCAAATTGAACGATTCTTCCTTGAGATTGGAGATATTAAGAGAAAAGAAAATAAAATGGGTATTTTGAGATCCGATGGTGGGGCAAAAACAAAAGCAATAGTAATTAATCTTATAAGCCAAATCAAAAGAACCATTCACATAAAACCATGGAAACAAGTACATGGGATTCGACAAAATCTGTGTAAAAATATCGCATTGGTGTCTGTTTTTTTGGCTTCTCAAATTACGAAATTTCTAGCATTTTGCAATTGCAAGGGTGCGGAAGACTTGGACCTTTAGTTGCCACAAGTCAATGAGCGTCTTCTCCTAGAAATTAATGCAAGCTTTGAGCCACAAAATTAGAAGAGAAATCTTATCATCATAGTTTGGATTTATTTGGGGCTGCCATATTCCTAACAAATATAAGTCAATTTGAAAGCACTAAGACCTAGATGCTCTTGGTTTTTGTTTTAAATTATTTGATAATCATAATGTGTATATATATATACATATACATATGAAACACACAATTTTTTTTTAGAGAGATTTTGGGATGTGTGTGTATACGTCTATATATATATATGAAACACACAATTTTTTTTTAGAGAGATTTTGGGGTGAATAAACTAATTTGCAATAAATTTAATTTGGTTGCACAATTCGATTGATCTCAAGCTATTAATCTCTCTGTACCAAATTATGAGAGAAGTTAGGGACTTAATTTTGTACTTTTTTAATTGTTACTTTAAGATATTAATACTGCATTAATTTGCCCTTTTCAATTAATTTTATCCTCCAGCTAACTCATAAAGGCAGAAATATATAATATTTTTTGGCCATTGATGGCAGAAATATTTAAATATAGAGAAAGTAAGGGTCAGATAATAGTAGAAAGTTACTGTTTTTATTTTAATTTGGTTGTTCTATTTATAAAAAATTTAAGTGTTTTTATTTAGTTATTTTATTTTTAATTTAT